AGGCTTGGCTATGTTAGGAATCCTGGTTGCTGGCACAGAGCTACAACATGAACCAAGGTAGCCGATGCCAAAGGCTATTCCCTGTGAGGGAGGGCATGTGCTTTACAGAGTTTTTGCAGGCATGATAGGAGGACTGAGAAGAGCTAGCATTTGTGGAGGGTCTGATACACTCTAAGCCAGTTATATGCCACCTTGACTGCACATTAAAATCACCTGGGGAGTTTTATAAGCACCATCCATGCCCCCGACCAATTAAATCGCATCTGTAGGAGTCATACCCAGGCATCCTAGGTTTTAAAAGCTCTCCAGGTGATTCTAATATGCAACAAGGATTGCTCAATAAAAGCAAGTTTCATGGATGTTTTTCTTTTTTTCATTTAATGACCCTGTATTCATTTGTAAGTAGGGAAGCTGCAGCTCGCAGCATTTGGATGGCTTGGACCAACCCCATGGCTGAGAAGATTCATATCTTAACCTGTATCTGGCTGATTCCAACATCTGTGTTTGTTCAGTTTATTTCATTCTCTCTCATATTTGGGCATATTCTATTTTTAAAGCATGTGAATTTTTAAATATAAATTTATTTTGCAAATTTCATCTCATTTTGTTCAAGTCCAAGTGCTGTTTAGGTCAGCTGCCTGAGAGTAGCAATGCAGCCTATAGCCGCTGAGTGGGGTGGGTTGGTCCAGGGGCAGCTGAAACCGTGGCCTTGGCTTCATCCAGGCTCTGCTACAACCAACAGGCCAGAACCTCCAAAGAGATGTCCAGGAGCCCTGGCTGGGATGTGCCTTCTGACTCTCCCAGGCAGAATACCACCCGTCTTCTGTAGCCTCAAGCCCTGAGGGGCCCTCATCTGAGGATGAGAAGGCCCCACCCTGAAGAACTCCCTAGTATCTGTTTCCAGCAGTGTTAGCGATTTCCCAAGGAGTGACATTAGAAAAGTCATCACCTATTTACTTCTGTACAGATCATTCAGAGCCTAATTTTCTGGTGGCCGAGGGTTCAGCTCATCAGAAACAGCCTTCATCATCAACTGAGTTAATCAAGCCAAGCCAGCACTGGATGGATTCAAGCTGCCAAGTGGTGCTTCTGCTCAAAGACTACCCTTAAAGAAGGGGCGAGAAAGAAGTGAGAGCAGATACCTGTACACTCATGTTCATAGCAACATTATCAAGAGAGTCAAAACATGGAAGCAAGCCGAGTGACCATCGATGAATGAAAAAATAAAGCATGGCACAAGCATGCAATGGAATATTGTTCAGCTTTAGAAAGGAAGGAAATTTTGACATATGCTACAACATGGATAAACTTGGAGACCTATGCCAAGTGAAATAAGCCAGCCGCAAAAGCCAGTCCACAAGATATCATATGATTTCCTTTTTATGATGTTCCTGGAGTGATCAAATTCATACAGACAGAAAGTAAAATGAGAGGGAGTTAGTGCTTAAAGGATACAGAGCTTCTGCTGGGGAGGATGAAGTTCCGGAGAAGGATATGGTGATTGTCTAACAGTGTGAATGTACTTAATGGCACAGAACTGTATACTTAATGATGGTTAAAATAGTAAATTTCATGTTCTGTGTACTTTACCACAATCAAAAGGTAGGGGAGAAGTATGACACCTTAATTCACAATTTTTCCAAGCAATTGAAAGATCTACATATATCATTACCATAAATGTTTATAAAATGGGAATGGGAAGAGCTGATAAAATAAATTGCTATTGAGAACATAATAGATCAAGTATGGGTGCAGCACCCCAGGCAGCCCCTGAGGATGAGGATTCCTTACCCCGTCCTAGACCCTAACTAAACATTAATGCCTCCTCAAAGATGTCTGGTTTTTCAGTCATCAGGGTATCAGATTGTACTAAAATGGCTTTGTTGAGACTGCATGGCTGCAGGTTGAGAGAAAGTAAAGTCCAGAGCCTGACATTTTCAGAACCACTTTTAGATTCACCTGCATTATAAGCAAAGTGTTGCAACCTTCAAGCAGTGCACATCAAAGCAGCTGTCTCGCGTCACTCATTCGCACTGGCAACACCGGCCAGCGTTTGGGTCAAGAGCCTCAGGGTTCTCATCCAGACTTCCAGACACCTCACCCCTTTATTGCTTACCCTGCTCCAACTATTCCTTGAAGGCACCAGGCACATTCTCACCTCAGTGCTCTTCCACTTGCTGTTCCCGCTGTCTGAAATGTTCCTCCCTCAGATGTCTGCATACCTCATCTCCTTCAGCCTTCACTAAAAATCACCTTCTCCAGTGTGCTCTTTTGGCCTCCCTACTTAAAAGTACCACCCCAACTCTACCATGTCATCTTCCTGTTGCCCTTGCTCAGAACACAGATGCCGTCACTGTCCCACTCATATCCTCAGGGCATATGCCGATGGAAGAAACTGTCTGTGCAAATGCGTGAGGCTTGGAAGACTGTGGCCTCAAAAGCCGTCTGAAATGGCTGGAGTGGAGGGTGCACAGGGCTGGGGGACTTCATGAAATGGCTTAAAATGTAAAAAGGACAGCTGGGCGTGGTGGCTTACGCCTGTAATCCCAGCACTTTGGGAGGCTGAAGTGGGCAGATCACAAGGTCAAGAGATCGAGACCATCCTGGCCAACATGGTGAAACCCTGTCTCTACTAAAAATACAAAAATTAGCCAAGCGTGGTGGCGCACACCTGTGGTCCCAGCTACTTGGGAGACTGAGGCAGAAGAATCACTTGAACCCAGGAGGTGGATGTTGCAGTGAGCTGAGATTGCACCACTGCACTCCAGCCTGGTGACAGAGTAAGACTGTCTCAAAAAAAAAAAAAAAAGTAAAAAGGACAGATGGTTGAAAGAGTTTGTCTACTGAGCTAAAGAATTTGAACTTTAGCAGGCAATGGGGAGCCACCAAAGAGTTTTAAGCAGGAAAGTAACAGTTTTGATTTGCCTTTTAAAAAGATTACTCTGGCAGCCAGTGGCGTGGAGGCTGAAACGGATGGGCCAGAGGCAAGAAGGCCAAGTGTAAAAGTAACATCTTGAACATTGCTGAGTTCAAATGACATTACAGCAGAAGGGAATGTAAGAGTGACATCCCACCAGCCAGTATGGGAAGCATTTTTTTTTTTCAAGGAATAGATTGAATTTCAGCAAAAAGAAACTCTCCTGCCACCCTTTATGATGTTCCTGTGAACGTTGACTCCTTCCCTCATTCAAGTTGGCCACCTTGGTCTTTCATGCAGTCACCATTCAATAAAAGCAAGCATGGGTTTTATGCGATTGTTTGGAGAGCCCCAAGCCAAAGTTTTCTACTCACTCAGGCAAGGCTGCTCTGCCAATTCCTAAATTGGCTGTTTTTTATGTATAGGGTGTAAAAGATATCTCTACGAATCTCTAGGAACACACCCATTTGGAAGGAGACATTTGTGACTATACATAATATCTTTATGTGGTTTTTGAAGGGATGTTTATACAACCTGCATATTCTTTGGCATGACTATTTTTGTAGAATGAAGAAAGGGAGAGACAGCATGAGAAAGCTGTTCCTACACCATAACTGCCTTTGGATCAGGAAGCGAAATGCAAAATAGATTAAGTTCCTCAGCAATGCCTCCAGGGCTGAACAGCTCCCAAGTCAACCCACTTAATCCTTCTTCCTGGAGGGTCACTCACCTTTGAACTTTATTTTCTAGACCTACCATTAAAAAAATAACAATGATATGGCCCAGTCCAGACCCTACTGAAGCCCATGCTCCCTGCCTCCAGAGGAAGAGCTCACCGAGAATCATCTCGCTTGTAAAACTCGGGTTGCTTGAAGAACTTGATGGAAAGAGCAGGGCAGTAAAAGATGGCATTTTGGCTTTAACGAGGCCAAGAAGCCCAGAGTGGGGCCAGCTGTATAGTCTGAATGAACCCAAGAATATTAGAAGCCGGGGTCACATGGAGCCGGGACACCACCAGGAATCTGGGGAGCAGAGACAGTCTGGTGAGGGGCGGGGCGAAAGACTGCAGCCCCCTGCTGCCAGTTCCCACGTGAGTCAACAGGAGGGCGGAGGGGGTGGGGGGGGGGGCGGCCAGGACAGGCAGGCAGGAGGAGTGATCCTGCCCGGTGAACGGTCAAGCTGCGCCCAGCCGCGTGGGGTTCACTTGGGCCCTCTTCATACCATCAGGCTCCAGGACCTCTGCGGGGAGCCAAGAGTGGCAGCTGTGCACCAGCGGGGACACGCACCTCAGAGAAATAGCCTCCTTGGTTTGTTCCACAGTGTTGCCTCGTCAAGCCCCCAACCCGCACTGAGCAACCAAGCAGTGGGGCACCCCATCTGGAGAGGAGGGAGGTGATGGCTCCATTCCCCAAAGCAGTAGGCAGCAAGGTTTCCAACAAGAATGTTCAGTAAGTCAGTGGCAGGGCAGGGGAACCAGGTCAGAATTCTCTAGCACCTTCCATTTGCTTGGGAAATAAAGCAACATTGTCCAGACCTGAACACACTTGGTAAACATCTGGGAAGAGGATAATCCCGTTTCTTGGCATTCCATGCAGCCCTGGGAGCAGACCCTGGCTCTTAACAACTGATGCCTCTGGTGTCTGTTGCCACCTCTTACCACTGACCCCCTTGCACTTAGAAGCAAATAAATCCAAGAGATGGCAGGGCCATATTCATTTCCCTAATTGTCCCATCCAGGCACTTTTACGCCCAGTCCTTTCTCCTAAGGATTCCCCTGAGACCAGAACTCCCAGCCTTGCCACTGTGTCTCTCTCAGGACATCTTTTCTAATTTGGGTCTGAGCTTTTCCTTTCCTTCATTTCATGCCATTCCTCCTAATGATAACCCTCTGCGCCAGGCTCAATTACATACAAAGCTTAAATGAGCAACCCCAACTCTAAATTTGGCCCTGTCCATTGAAGAGGGTGGGGGCGCCTTGGTCATGTGGCTTTGCTCAAAAAGATGCTACTCCCGTGGGGAACCAATGCCAAGGAGAGCAGGGAAGGCTTTTGCAAAAATAAAAATCTAGAATGGAGAAATAGACCAGCTCTGGCTGTCCCTGGTCACTAGGGCTTCAGGCTGCTTGTGCGTCTTCAGCCAGGCCTGTTAGGACTCTTCGCCCCGCCACAGGCATGCAGAAGCTACAGACAGACTGATTTTTCCTTTTTGAAAATGTCTTCCCAAATTGTTTTCCGTTTTGAAAACGATCCCACCCTACCTATGCTCTCCCTGCAGGGTTAGCAGAGGGTAAGGTGAGAGCATTTGCCAGGAATTTCCGGACTTCTGTGAGTTTTTCTCAAGATCTGGCCGTGAGTCAACGTGATACACTGGGACACATGGTGAAGCTCACAGTGGCCTCCCCTCCCTTCTGGAACATCAGGAGAAGCATCTCCCTGCTGAGTAACCCTGGGCAGAAATCCAGAAGGCCCCCTCCCTCTCCCTGACTCTCCCTCTGTACTATCCCCCATTAGAGGAGATAAGGGAAATATATATTTATGACAAACTTGATCAGGATAGTAATATGCTCCAGAACTACACAAAGGTCCCTATTTATGCAGCTCATCTCCTTTCAAAATTAAGCTCTGTTGTATGATTCCAGTGCTTTTTATACTTTGGACATTTAGAAAATAGGAGGAGGGGGTGATGAGGAGAAGAATGGAGAAGAAAGAAGCATTGCTCAGTTTCAGAATGACAAGATGAGAGCCTAACACAGCCCCTGAGAGGTCCAGGTGAACTGGGCTGACGGGTAGCTAGAACTCTCTGTGCAATTTTACTGATGTTGACAACTCATCTGAAGTACTCAAAGTAGATTCACTACCATTTTATGTGCAAGTTCTGGCTACCAAAATTGGCTATCCTGGCCACTGGAGTCCATCCACAATCAGTTTCTTCTAGTGATAGTTTAGAATTACCCCTAAGAGTGTGGGGGAGAAGTTCAATGAAAATCAATGATATCCTTCCATAGATCTTTGAATTAAAACAAATGGAATGTTACCATGAGACTGTTAAATATCTGTGAAGCCTGGCCTCAACCTGGGTCAATGGGAGCAGATTTGGGGAAGCACTTTGCAAAATGTTAGACACAATGAAATAGCAAGGAATTGGTATCACCATCTTTGGGATGCACTAGCTTCAGCTCTTTGGGCCAAAGAAGGTTAAAGTCTTTTATAAATACAGCATGGACTCACGCCTGTAGTCCCAGCACTTTGAAAGCCCGAGGCGGTCTGATTACCTGAGATCAGGAGTTCGAGATCAGCCTGACCAACATGGTGAAATCCCATCTCTACTAAAAATACAAAAAAACTAGGTGGGCGGGGTGGTGATCACTTGTAATCCCAGCTATCAGGAGGCTGAGGTGGGAGGCAGAGGTTGCGGTGAGCGGAGATCACGCCACTGCACTCCAGTCTGGGCAACACAGCAAGATGCCGTCTAAAAAATAAATAAATACATAAATACATATAGCATAGGCTTCATAATGTCCTTGAGAGTTGAGAGGTGAATAGCTTTAATTCCTGTCTTTCAAATGCAGAAATTGAGGGGCAAAGACATCAAGTGAGTTGCAGGCATTGAGGAAAACAGGACAGAACTCCTCCGACCCCTCAGGCCCTTCATCTCCTTGTAGCCCAAGACCCTCAGGAAGGGTCAAGCAGCCTTCGTTGTGGAAAGTATAACTTGGGAAGGAAAATCTCAACTTGCAGTAGAAGCTTGCTGAGGAGAGAGGCCCTGTTTCTCCTCTCAGCGTTTCTTGTGTGCGGATGTCAACTCCGCAAGCAACAGATGGAGGTGGCGGGGCAGGTGGGCTGTGCTGCTGCCCGTGGCTGGGCTGGGGTCACACTATCCACTCTCCCCACTGTAGATGCCAACCTGTCTCTGTCACGCTGTGCCACCTGCCAGACCTGGTTCCTGAGGCCACAACAGAGCTCTCATACTTCCTACCATTCTGCAGGAGAAGTGAGATCAGTATTTTCCAGGGTCCTTTCAGCTGAGATGAGGAAGGTGACCGGACTCTTCTTCACAGGCCTTTCTCCTCTGTACCCCACTTCCCCTGGCCTCTGGCACGCACACAGGCCCATGATTGCACCACCCCTGAAAAAGACAGCTCCTCAGTTTTCTTCTCATTATGGGAAAAAATACCATTCTGAATGGCTGTTCTGTCACTTACAGATAATGGCAAAAGGAGAACAAAACGAGGCAAAGAGGGATACAATTGTAGTGAACTATGATTTTTAAATTTTTATAAAAAATGTTTCTTATATATTATATTTTATTCTATCTTCTTTATTATTTATTTGTGCATTTGCTGATTTATTTGTTGTTAAGCCAGCAGAGCCTTTCCTTTTCCCAGCCGGCCATTTTCTACCATCTGCTGTCTGCCTGTGAGGTGCCACTGGGAGAGGCTTCCCCAGAGCAGAGATTCCCCCCGAAGCGGAGGTTTCCTGGACGGGGGAATGCAAGAGGTTGGAGCCCAGGCTTCCTGTGAGACCCAGACCCAGGCCACTTTCACTGGTGGGCTCTGGAAAGATTTTCTTCCAAACGCTGTGTGCTGTAGCTCACTTACACATAAAGTGAGCAAAACAACACTCTTTCCCACAGCTGTGCAATGAGGTTTAATTGTTGCAAATTTGTGAAGCGTTTTAAGATCCTTGGATTAAAGAAGTTCTATGAGAAAAAAAATACTATTATAGAGTGGAATTCTGCTTACTTGTGATATGTTTCCTGCAACTCTTCCCCTGTGTCTTACATAACTTGGAACAAGTACCACGAGCTGCGAGACCTTCAGAAAGCCTTTAAGTAATTTCTTGGCCTGCTTTCTTTACCTTTAAAAAAAAATCTTCTTCTACTTCTCTCTTCTTTTTTTCTCTTTCTAATGCAGCCCAAACTTGCTCCTCCTAATCTGTATGATGAGAAAGGCAGTCGGCTGGCTGGGGCGGGCCCTTGCCCACCTGGGTATCTCCTTGTCTCTCCTCCCTTCCCCTCCCTCGTTTTGCTCTCCACCTGCAGCTCCTCTTTTTAACCTCATAACGCATGTTCATACATTGTCATAAATTTGACTTTTTGAGCACCTGGCCCTAATATTTGCTCTGCCTCTTGGACCAGTCGCCAAAACTGATTACTGAGTGAGGCCCCCTGAAACCGAGCCTGATGTGGGTCGAGGCCTGGTGATGGTGACGGCACAGAGCCTGGCTGACCACGGAGCACAGGAGGCCCTGGGTGGCTCTTCCCCGCCAGGACTTCCCAAAATCAATCAGCATCATCCCCGAAACGTGGGAAAACACCCAGGCAGCTGCTGCCGCGGCCATGAGGCAGCAGCCAAGAATGCCCCTTGTCCTGGCTGCAGCTGTGTCCCGAAACAGGTGCTGCCTGGTGGCTGGGAATGCCTGTATGTGTCACATCCTCCCCTGGATTCGTGGAAATGCATCCCACATCAGGGACGCACACTGGCCCTCACTCTCCAGCCTCATGCCCGTCCTGAGGCCACGGAGATAGTGAGCATAAGATAGGCCCCAGGTGATGAATTGTTTGTAAACCAGCATCTCAGCCTCAAGATGCATTTACACATTTTTTTTCCCTTTCTTGCTTTCATCCTCGAAGCAGACTTTAATACTCTTTGCTTCTCCCTTTTCCACCAGGCACTTCCATGAACCGTGCTTGCTTATCTAATGATGAGCTTGCTTAGAAATTCCAGGGGCCAACTTTGAAACAAACCAGGCAGAGAGACCCTAGCTGCAGAATCCACACTCGGGAAGAGTTAGGAGCAGCAAGCTCACCACTGCAGGGCTGAAGTCAGGATAATGCGAATCAGATCTCCCCACAAGCTGTTATTGAGATGGCCACAGAACAGACACGCAGACCTGCACTCCTTTTTACTACTCCCACCTATTTCCCACACCTTTTCCTTCCTTAAACCCTTCCCTCAGCCTAAAACGTTGGAATGATCTTCCAAAGGCATGAGCCTGGCCGTTCCCCAACTACCAGCATTTTAATCAACTTGCTTTCCTTTCTCCACAGCTCTCTTCTGTTTTTTACCTCTGAGCGGCAAAAGCAGCCAGACTTTAGCCAGTTACAAAATTGGGTCCAGAGTCACATTCCCTCTGCCCTCTGTCCTCTAATGGACCCCGGACAGATGAGAGAACCCCCCTCCCTCACACCTCCCTGGCATCACTGCAAGGAACGGAGTGTCCCCAAAGGAGGAGGGAGCACTGACCCTTCACTGTCTGGCCCTGCACGGGGACCAAGCAGCTACTGCCACCCCCACACCACCCTCACCCGAGAATTCTCACTCAGGGCCTCACTCATCTGCTCCCCACAGACTAGAAGAACCCAGTGAGGGAGGGCTAATGTGGGCCTGAGCCTGGAGACAGAGCCAGGCAGCCTTCTTCCAGCCCCTGAGCTCTTTTTTTTTTTTTTTTCTAATTTGTCATCTTTCACTTTTGTGTGTACATAGTAGGTGTATATATTTATGGATTACATGAAATACTTTGATAGAAGAGTGTGATGCATAATAATCAGGTCATGGAAAATGGGGTATCCCCCCCTCACACATTTATCCTTTATGTTACATGCAATCCAATCATGTACTTTTAGTGATTTTTAAATGTACAATTAAATTATTATTGACCGTAGTCACCCTGTTGTGCTATCAAATACCAGGTCTTATTCATTCTTTCTATTTTTTCTTTTGGTACCCATTAACCATCCTCACTTTCCCCACCCCCCACACCCCGCCCCACTAAAAATGATGGAAGGCTTCACACATTTGCATGTCATCCTTGCATAAAGGTGGTACTAATCTTCTCTGTATCCTTCCAATTTTAGTATATGCGCTGCCAAAGCAAGCACCCTGGGCCCTCTTTGTCTCTCATTCCTTCCTTATGCTTCCTCGCCTGCTTCTCCCCAGCCCCAGCGTTCACTCCTTTTCCCTGCTGGTCTCCATTCCCAACCTTGGCCTGCCCGAGCTCCTTACCCCCAGCAACTTACTCTCTTCTTTTTTAAATTTAATTTTTTTGTTGTTTGATATAGAGTCTCACTCTGTCGCCAGGCTGGAGTGCGGTGGTGCGATCTCAGCTCACTGCAACCTCCGTCTCCTGGGTTCAAGCAATTCTCCTGCCTCAGCCTCCTAAGTAGCTGGGACTACAGGTGCCCACCATCACACCCAGCTAATTTTTGTATTTT